TTATCTGCCAAGAAGCCCTTCCTACCTTTGTACCCTTCTTACAATACTAGATGTTTTATAATAGCATTTAACACATACTCCTGAACCTGTGTCTTTCTTGCCTGAATTTCTGAGAAGAGGGTGCATGTCCAATCATCTCCATATCCCCAGCACTGGCCCTACAGCACTGTTTGAAAGAGTGGGTGCTACATGTTTTAGGAGCTCCTAAGAATGACTGTAGCATCTGGTAACAACAATTCCAGGTTAAGAACAGGCTGGTTGAGAGGCTGCCAGCTCGTTTTCCTTTTCTAATAATGCAGTGTTCCATGGCATTATCCTGACAGCTGAGCTACAGACAGCTGGTGAGTTTTGGGGAACTCTAAAATTCTCTAACTCAAAGGTCATACTTGCCTAATTCTCACACAAGCTTTGCAAAATGTACCTTAGTGGGTGGGTTAGAAGTTAGCAATACCCGAATATGGGCAAAAAGCACACAGATGTTGTTTATGCTGTTTTATTTTTGCACCTTAGGTAATAATTTGGAATTATCTCCAAATAAAAAGGTACTTCACAATGTCTTCCACACAACAGGCCAGATCATGCTTTAAAATGTACCTAGGATCCATGTGTTCTCTCAGGTAGCCTAAAGCACTTGAGGACAATTATGCAAAGAGGCTACTGTAAATGCTACATCTGGAATCTGCTTGGTTCAACACTCTGTGTTACACTTTCTAATTCAATAACTATATGGCCTTAAGTTGAGTAACAGGAGCATTTCACACACACCCAGTACTACAGTTCGATTAGTAGCCCCCGAAGGCCCACATGTTAAAGGGTTGGACCCAGGCCTTTGCATGACTACAAGGTGCGAAAGCAGTACAGGTGGAATCTAATAGAAGTTTTGGGTCACTAGCCTGAGAATTCCTTCTTCATCTTTCATGTTGGACCCTGAAGTGATCAACTGTCCTTCTTCATGCTCTCCTTGCTACAACGTAGGCTCCCAAAAATAACAGGAACAATAGATAATGGACTGAAATCTCCAAAAATGTGAGTTAAAATAGCTTTTTTACTTAGAAAATCTGTTACAGTAACAGAATAAAAATTTTAAAAAAACATATTAATGTAGGAAGAAAACAAGAAAAAAAGATGCCACTCGCCTTATCATCTCAGCCTCATGCATATCTATTTTCTCATTTTTTAATGAAGTATAAACTCACCATTTTATTTTGTGAGGTATAATAGAGGAATAAAGATTGTACACCTAGATGCGAAACTGCATTTTACTGATGGATGTTCTGGTGGGGTCTATGCAGCACCTACAAGTATCTACTTTCCTATACACTCAAAACCAATTTTTTTCTAATCTTAATAAAAAAGGAAAAGTGGTTATCATTGAAGTCAGATGGGGAATAGGCCCTTTTGCATCTTAAGTAATTCTTCTAAACCAACAGTAATAACATGGGGTGGTGTTCTTTTACCTCACAATAATTAATTGACATCATTCATTTCTCTATTCCTTTTTGAGTATCTACTTCCTCTCCTTATTGCCTATAACATTCAGGACAAGCTGATTTCATGTGCTAACAGTATGGTTACTTTTCACTTCAGAAAAGTTATTTCAATCAAAACAGTTTCACTAGTAAAGTAGCTTACAGAGCTAAGCAAAGGACAGAACTGTGGGGTAGAGAACCATTCAAGTATGGGGCTATCAAAGAAATGAATGAGGAACACTCCAACAGATGCAAGCTACCTAAAAGACCCATCCAAAGCCTCTATACTGCTGCCCAAGTACAAACACACTGCATTTACACCATCTTTCTCTCTATATTGGGAAGCCCATTGCTTCTATCCGAATCTCTCTGTCACTGTTAACTGAATATGGAGATGGTAGATAGCTATCATAAGTTCCTGGTGGTTTTCTCATACAATTTTTTGAAAAAAGCTAAATTAAATTTTATATAATGAATTAAAATATAACCTTAATAAAAAATAACAGTGCTCACTGTGTGCAGAATTTACCCAGTGAAATCACCGAGGCATAACTTGTCTCTGTATCTAAAACCAGTTCATCCTGAGAAACATGCCTGCCTATCTATGTATCTATGTATCTATGTATCTATCTATCTATCTATCTATCTATCTATCTATCTATCTATTTTTCCAACTATGCCTGTCTGTCTGTCTGCTTGTCAGTCTGTCTGTCTATCTATCTATCTACTATCTGTCTGTCTGTCTGTCTGTCTATGTGTTAGTCCTACATTGTCTCCAGTTTCATAGCCTGATACATATGCATGGGGGTAGGCAGTATATATGTGTTGTTTTACACAGCAATTTTCTCTGAATCATTGAAACCTTCCCTTGAGGGAAAAGCAAGGCGATTCCTAAGACTCAGAAGAAAACAAAATTCACATGCCTGGGATAGCTGAAAGCTGCAAGATTGACAAGGACCCCACCCCAAGGCTACAGAACCAATGTACTGCTGCTGGAGGAGACTGAGCAACAAAGCTGCCTAAGTCCTGCAGAGAGCTCCAGAGAGTCAGCTTTCTTAAGTCTTCGCCAGTGTCAGGGAGGGCTTTTTAGTGATGCATCTGCTTTCGAGTCACCCCTGCTCCTATAAGTAAACCCTTAACTGCACTCCTGTTAGTAACTCCAGGAAAAGCTGTGTGTGAGTGTCTATGTGTGTACACATGTACATGTACATATGTCCAGAAAAGTATGAAGAAGAAAAATACCTGTGGTGGAATCACACCGCCACACATGACAAGGATGTCTGGCCGTCCCAGGGCAGTAAGCTCTTTGATAAGCTCAGGAACGAGGGTTTTGTGACCAGCAGCAAGTGTGCTGACACCCACAGCATGCACATCTGCGTCCACAGCCTGCTGGGCGACTTCACGGGGGGTCTGAGCACACAGAAGACAGAGAAAGGTAAGGGTGAAACAATGCACTGGGGTTCTTTCCTCAACGTTCCACTTCCCAGTCCCTCATCGTCACATTCTGAGTGATAACGAAGCTAGCGATACAATGAACACCAATCTTGTATGTGTTTCTGGGACTGGAATTCACCAATTAAGTCTAAGTTAGAACAAAAAATTTCCCCAAGGAATTTTCAAAGTAATCTTTACCTACCATACATACCAAAAACTACAATAATAAAACTTCACTATCCAAAGCCTTATAACATTTCATTCCCAACTGACATTTACATTCACAAAAATCAGAGTTAACATGAGTTTTTATTTTTAATCATAAATTAAGTGAATTTTCACATTGGAAAATGCAGAATTTGTTAGACTTCTTGAAAATAATTTCAATACATACCTGAAAAAGAGGGCCTATGTCCACATCAAAACCAAGATCAGCAAATCCTGTAGCAATGACCTTGGCTCCTCTGTCATGGCCATCTTGCCCCATTTTTGCCACAAGAAGACGGGGTCTGCGACCTTCACGTTCCATGAATTTATTAACTCTAGGAACATTTAAAAGGTAATAATAATTAAATATTAACTGTCCAATGTAAGTTGTAAAACTGCAATTTACCCAGAGAAATCTTTTAAGAATGCCATCATTAAAACCTGTATTTAATAGTGGGAATGCCATGCAAGCCTTAAATATGGTTATTGTATGGTTAGAGCCAAGTTTGAAAGACAGTGCAGCCTGTGTGCCCACCACCCCAAGAACGGGTAAATTCCCAGACTACTATAGTCTGCTAAAATTAAATCAAAGGACAAACACCTGACTGATCTACAACTGACAATGGAATCAAGGCAGAAACAGTGCCCCAAGAAGGAAAAGTTTTAGACTGGAGATTTCACTGCCAACTTCCACCGATCCTTCAGAGAAAAGCTAACACCAGTGCTCCTCAAACTGCCCCATAGAACAGAATGGGAGGAGTATTACCACACTCTTTCTGTGAAGCCAGTATTGCCATATAATGTGGCCAATTCAGATAATACATAATCAGAATGCTTGTGTGTATAAAATGACAAATTGTATAAACATGACAAAATACAACATCAATTTTTTGGTTGTAATAAAGGTTCCTTCTGATGACTTGTATTTTGGCTTATATTTAACATTTATAGACTATTTAACTGGTAATGCAATTTTTTGAGGGAAGTGTGTTACACAAGTTGAAAACACCAATCACCCAGAGGTCAGTTTTACACCCAAGAAACAAATCACATTACAGCTTCACGTCAGGCAGTGGCAACGGTCCTCACTGTCACCTCAGTGAAGACTGGTTTTACAGTTTGCACAGGTAGCAGCCATGTGTTTAGTTTTCAAATGGGAAAATTAAGTTTTAACTATTCAAGTAACTAAGCCTTGTGACAGAAGTTAAGAAGTATATAGTAACATGACTGTAAGCTCTCACCTGGAGGGTCTGAAGCCGTACCAGCATCAATTAAATAAACAAGTGTTTGAAATGAAAAACTCCTAATGGCAACAACGGTGCAAGGTAAAAATAGTATTCATTTTGCCAAATGATTATTAGTTTTAATATTTAATTTCATTCTCATCAGTCAGTATATACTACACATGTAATTCATTATAGTCATAAATTATTAAATGACCAAGACATATTCAGAGAAACACATCATGAGTTGGCTTTGTCAATGTGAAAACCTGATACAATTACGTAAGCTTACTGGCACAGCATACTACATACCCAGGCTCTATGATGTGTGTGTGTGTGTGTGTGTGTGTGTGTGAGAGAGAGAGAGAGACAGAGACAGAGACAGAGACAGAGAGGGGGAGAGAGAGAGACAGAGAGACAGAGAGAGAGGGCGCGAGAGAGAGAGCTTTCTGTTCCTACAAGTGTTGAAAAATAAGCACAAAACTGTGGGGGCCAAGAAATGCAGGCCCATTTCCTACCTTATCTGATGGTCAGAGTTTGGGGAATAACAAGGCTTAATCACACCTTTTAGTTCAGGAGGTGGCTGCTTGGCCCCTTTTGGAAGTTAAGAAAACTCAGCACCATCTGATAAGTGTTCAGGATATGCCAGTGTCCTTCTGCTCCTTCCTTTGTAACTGAGATCTTCTGGGGAAGGGGTGTTTTCTGCCTATGTGACCAGTGTATGTGAGTAAACCTGACTTGAGAAGTCCTGATACCTAGGCAACAGAATGCTGATGATGGGAAGTCTCACGCTATCATGTTAATGTAGCCTTTGTTACCTTCTCCCCCAGTTTATGTTTGGTATAAACACCTATGGAACAATAAGCATGGGTTATTTTTCAGGATCTGAATAATCCCTGAAACTCCCTCCCATTACTGTTTTGTGGTTCCTGTCTTTATTTTCCCACGACTCTACCCTGGCAAGAAGTGCTTTTGTTGAGACCGATCCCCAACACAAAATTAAATCAAATTCAGGAAAAAATGGTGCAATTGAGATGTAGTAAGCAGAAGTATGTGAGGCTGCTTACAGCCTGCTGTATACTCTTCTGCAGTACACCATACTTACCAGTAGGAAGAATATACTCTAACATAAAAATTAAAACAACAGGAAGTGAGTAATAGCATTGTTTGTTATCACTAGGTACTACACACTGTACATGATGGTAAATGCTATATTTCTATGTAACTAGTAGAGCACAGGTGTATGTATAAAGCATCACCATAAACACATGGCTATGACCACGGCTACATCACTAGATGCAATACCAATGGGAGACAGAAATTAGAACCATTATAATCTTATGGGATCGCCACTATGCATACAATCTATGATTTGCCAAAATATCATAGTTTCACATACTGGCACAGGACTGCATATTTATAATAATTGTGAATAATAAATTATGTAATAAATGTTATAAATTAAATGTTAATCATATGTTATATATTGACTGTATAATATGTGTATTTTATTCAATATTTATTCATTTTATAAGAACAGCAGACTAGTACAACAGTCAATGTATTTCCCAAGTAGCAAAGACACTAAGCCAGGGCAGGCTCAGGGAAGTGTATTAACTAACATGAAGATGAGACCAGAGCTCACTAGAGCTCACACAATACCTCTTGATGGTAGATGTTATCTCTTTACTTTCTCCGAACTCCTGCCGATAGGCTCCACTCACCATACGATCATTAGCTTTATGCTCACCAAAAACCTTTTTCAAAGCGTCTGTGATTTCTCCAACTGTACATCTACAGTATTAAAAAGAGGTGCCAGGGAGAGAATCAATTAACAATAAATAGATAAATATTTACCTCAATAATCAATACAATTAGAATGCTTTGTTAATAAATAAAAATAGAGTGCAAAACCTCAAGAAAGTTTATAAGATACTAAAAAAACATCTTTCCTGAGAATACTTAATCTAAAATTGACTCTTGGTGCCAGGCTATACTGCAGTCCCTTTAAATACCTGTCAACCAAAATAAAGACTACACAATCTTCAAGTTACCAGTCAGTCAGTGTCTGAAGGTAACTCAACAAAATCCCATTTATCAATACAAACAGGCGGAGCTAAAGTACCAGTGACATTTTCTGATGAGAAATAAATCTTTCAGTGTGTTCCAGCCAAGGGAAGAGGTGAGCTCAAGAAGACCAGGCAGAACACAGAAGAAAACAGTGTGAAATAGGCCAAGACATCGACACAAAATAAGAGAGTAAAACACTTTGACAAGTACTCTCTTGCAATTCCTCCCCCTGCCTTTTCACCCTTCCTTCTATTTTCATCTTACAACACTAGACTTATCTAGCAACAAAGGGGCAAGAATTAGTATTGGGGGTTTCTTATTCTTCTGGTTGCTTCAAGATTAATGATTCAAAAGCAATGACAGGATAATAACCTTTATCTAACAATTATCAGATAAGAGTTCCCCCTCTTTTCCTTCAAAGACTGTCAGGGTTGGACACACAACCTTGATCATAAAGCTGAGTCTATCAGAATCACAGCCTACAAATCAAAGACCCTGATGCATTGTAACAGTGCCATGTGTTCTAAGCTACAGTGAATTATACAACTACCAATATCCCTCAAAGTATATTAATATTTTAAATATTAGTAAGCACTGAAACCAGTATGAAGTTTCTAACAGTTTCCATTACTTTCTTTTAGGCTCACAGAATTTACAGAAGCAATGTTTTATTTGAGTACACTGTGAAAAGCTAAATTGGTCAAACTCTCATTATTTGGAAATCTTCAAACTCCCACATGTTCACCTTGCACGAGCTGCATCCACAGCAAGAGCCAGAATATTGCCATCTCCACTGGCAGCACACTGGGTAAGTGCCTCCAGAGACCGCTCAGCCAAAGCCTGATCCCTGCTGGATTTAATCTTAGGAAGAAGAGAAGAGACAGTTTTATGCAAAAGGGCAATAAAACAGGTACTACAAGATTAAACCCTGATACATACTCTACTGAACAAGTTCCATAATCTTTATCTTAAAAGAATAGGAAGCAATGGAAGAGCATAATATTCAATCTAAGAAGTATGTACATTATTTAACTCATTCATTCAGAATTTTGTAAAATTCTGATATAGCACAAAGCCAACAAATAAGAAGCAAGCAGAGTAGTAACATCGCAAATAGTTACCCAGGCTTTTCTGAAACTACAACACAATGAAAACAGGTGGGCCCTTTACAGGGGAATGCCAAGGAAGACTCACAATTAACAGTGGAAAGACCACCAGATCGGAGCTTACAGGGGAGCTTAACTCTACCAGAAGTGCCCTTTAGATGACGACAACATGCTGTCCAGAATACATACTGCTATTCTTTTCATTTAAAAATCGTTCTAATGGGAGACCTCATCACAGAGGGAAAGAGACCAAAAAGGAGAGACAATAGAAAACAAAGCTAAAACCATATCCCCTCAGGTCCTAGCTCTCCTGTGCTCTGTCAACAACTTGGACAGTCAATGTTACTCAAGCCCAAGTTTTAAAGCTGCATCGCCTGTAAACAGAACTCAAACTATGATACTTTTCAGAATGCCACTGAGATTATAATCTGTCATCAGAGATGGATGGAAAATGTGTATTACAGCAAGGAAAAACTCAATTCAAAATCCTCTTCAAAAAGAAAAGGCTTAGTTTCCGTTATTGCATGGCTGCATGGCTTGAATCTGAATTTTCCATCTAAGTGAAGTGTGCTAGAGTGTGGTGCTTCTGAGTTATGATGCCTAATGAACTGCAGTGTGGTGATGTAGAATTAACAATTGTTACAAACCTATTTTTGGAATTTAAATAGAATAGAAAACATCTACAAGCATGGAGCATCGCTTACAAACGTACTGTTTGCTGAAACCTATCTTCATAATAGGTGTACTCACACACTGCATATAGGAGGAATGGAGGAAACATGCACCTTTTGACTACACAAAAGTTATGGTCAAAACATTGGAAATACGCTAGAATTAGAATGAAGAGACAAGGCACAGACATCTACTCATACTGGATACAATTTCCATCTGACATTCACTTAAGAACATACAGACATCTCTCCAAACTAGCTTCTGTCAGACTGGATTAATAAAAAGAATCATGTGATTCTTAACAGAATTAAATGAGGAAAATGTGTGTCTAACGCAACTGTTGGCATAGCACAGATACTCAGTAAATCTTGGTATTATGGTAGAAGCAGTAGTAAAAGAATGTGGAGTCATTCTTGTAGGAAATAAGGATGTCTGAAAGTATCATCTGTACTTACAGCTAGAATGGCTAACAATTCAATCTTTAACATGTATTTTCAGCAACTATGATCCAAAAGCAGGATTCGTCTTAAGTTCATGGAATTCTAAGCTATTCAGCGCAAGCAAAAGTTTGATGAGCAAAATTTTTCAATAAAAATTGTTAAGTATTAACTAAGTAGCAATTCCTGGCAGTTTTACTGTAGTCATGGTGATTGATTATATCAACAAATGAACAATGCCCATGCCACCCTGCTATTTTACATTATTCCTGGAATTTTTAGGAAAACCAATAAGCAAATAAACAAATAAATTTCTAATTTAAAAGAAGAAATAAGGCAGATAAGACTGAAAGAATGATTACGCAGTGGAGCTGGCAGACTTTGGGTAGGAATTACCAGGAGTTTCTGAGGTAAGGTGGACCATGAGGCAAGGCCTGGGAAGTACGCCTTTCCGTGTTCACTACAACACTAGCACTCCTTAGAGCATTAGTTAGCTACAATTACCTGTACAGCGGATTACTGAAATTCAAAGAGCAAAAAATTACACACTAAAACTAAGTGGGATTATAGACTGAAGAAAAAATTACGAGAAAATTAATGTTGACGTGGGTTCAGTCTTGGGGTCCAGCAGGTGGGTGTCGTAACAGCCAAACACATATCTTCTTGTAAAGAAACCATGAGAAAATATAAACTTTAACCCAGTACCAGAAAGAGCTCAGGGTGCCACAGCAGAAACATGTTAAATTGATTAATTATAGTAAAAGTTAACTTTTATAATGAAGGAAGTCTGATTTAGCCATGGTCCTAAGAGTCATTCCAGGTTTAAATGTTTTAAAGGCTACAACAGAACCTTCCATTTCTCCAAAAGCTGAGTTTCTCTTTCCCCAAATGAAGTTTAGGGTAGTTTACGGTAAACAGATTGTCCCAAGCCTTGACAATATAGTTAATAAGAAACTAAAGCGCAAGAGTCAAGAGTTTCCAGCTGTAATAAATACTGAGTCTCCTGTGACTGCAGGGACATAAGGCTACTTGCTAAACAGAGCATCTCAATGATAAAATGTTTGGTTTAGATTAGGGATGAAAGTGGAAAAGAGATCATTAAATGTCTGCAAAGAATGCTATCCCAGCTAACTAGAAAAAATCTATTTAGTTTTATAGACTGTTTGAACTAAGAGAGAAAAAGTTGATTGTTAATCAAGAAAAAATTAAAGGGTTTTGTTAGTTTGTTTGTTTGTTGCCTCAGAACAGTGATTACAAAATCTAGAGACTAGGAGACAGGACAGCTTCAGATAGTAGAGTATATGTGACAACAGTAGAAGTAAATGTTTTATCCACTTTTATATAACATTTCAGAAAGAAATTAAAATAAAACAGAAATACAATGCTCACCAAGATACACAGAGGATACTAAAACAAAATGCAAAAAGCTCCCTAGACAGTGAAGCTTACAAAATTACTAACAAAGACTGATGATTGGAAAAATCCGAAAGCTAATGAACCATGGTCTAGTGGAGGAACCATTACAATGAGAGACTCTGACACAAACACTGGTCCTAAGCTACACTGTGTTCTTACTTTGTGATTTCAGCACTGAGTCATGACTGCCTAATTATTTAATCCAAGCAACTTTTCCAATGTCTTACCTTTAAAGAAATACATGAGAAGTAATACCGACTTCTTCTGGATATTATAGAAGCTATACAGAACAATATAAGAAATCAGAACCCATAACCCAGGACATACTTATCAAACAATGGTTGACAATACCTTCTTAAGTTTTTCAATCTGCTTCTTCCGCACTGAAGTATTGTCAATGGCCAGAACTTCCACAGAGTCTTCTTTCTCCAACTGATACTTATTTACTCCAACAATGACCTCAGACCCTAGTGGTTTCCCAAAGGAGAATAACATGTCAATTTACGCATAAATGGTTCCCTATTGAAAATGCTCTGATTATCACATATTATCTGATATACTTTTAAGTATCATTCTTAACTGTTTATTTATTAAAGTCTTTATTAAAATACATTTGAAATGTCACTACATTTCCCCTTTTTTCTAAAAAAAGGCTATAATGAAAATAAGAAAACTATATACATTAAGTACAACGACTATATACAATATATACAGAGAATAAGTACAGCAACAATGTCTAGTACATTTGCATTTGACAAATTCAGAGAAAATATTTCATATCTATCCTATCTTGGTAAGTCTAAAATCTTATACCTAATTTACTTTCTATCATAACTTGCTTTCTGTTTCTGGTAAACTATAACAATAGCTATCTAATATAAATACAGCTGTCTCACAAATTTCAGCATAATGCAGAAACTCCATCCTAGGATACAGGTGCTACGGACCGGCTCAGGGGAGCCACTCAGACCGTGAGAGAATCAGGGTGAAGGACGGAAGATTTCAGGATAAGGCGGAGGAATTTGACAGACAGCCACTCTCAATGTATTTTGAAAATGCTGCTGTATTTTGAAAAAACTATTCTATGCTTTTTTTTATGATCTGATGACCAGCCGCCTGGTACAGACTGGGCAAAAGTCCTTGTGCCCAAGTCAAAGCATTTTCAAAGATTCTTTTTGTAAACTATTCTATGCTTTTTTTTATGATCTGATGATGTATGCCTTTGCCAAGTTCTTTGTTTGTAATAATATAAAAACCTCACACTGAATAAGTAAAACACAGCAGCATTTTCAAAATACGTTGAGAGTGGCTGTCTGTCAAATTCCTCCGCCGTATCCTGAAATCTTCTGTCCTTCGCCCTGATTCTCTCACGGTCTGAGTGGCTCCCCTGAGCCGGTCCGTAGCATACAGGTAAGGTGGAAAGAACAGTTACATAGTTACATGATGGGTTTTCTTCAGGAAAGAATTTTGCTATTCTCAACAAAAAACAAGGACAGTCAGTTACCAAGACAGATGTAGAAAGCAAAAAGAGTAGCAATGTCCAATAGCTTTCTATGATTTTATAGAACTTTCATACAGCCAGTTGTTAAATGGAAAGACAAATACTTTAAAAATCTATCAATAATAAATCAATATTATGAGCATACTTCTCTCATCTAAAGGTAACTGACTGTTGCACCCCAGTTTATACTCCTTCCTTCCTTCCCAGCACTTAGCATCATCAGTAGTCACTCAGTTCCATTTCTTTTCACTGCAATGAAATCTCTAGACTCAGGAGTTTATGTCTGTCCTATTCACAGCTGCATCCCCAGCCACGGGAAACGACTCGAACAGGGCATACCAAAAGGTATCCCCGGAGTGAACGAATTCTTCCATGGACAGCACAAAGACTGCCAAGCATGCCAGCTTGATATTGTCATTGGCAACAGCTCAGCACATATGCACATCTATGTTGTAAGTAATATATGCTTGCCTGTGTGCTTGCAAGAATGCAAAGGTACAAGATACGGACATACATTATATTTAAATATATTTGAATATGAGAAATATTTTATCAAAGACCTATTTCCATTGCTATTTCATTTTAAAATGTATTTGTATCAGTTGTACATGGTATCCACAGCCAGAAACTAATAGTCCTCCTTAATCATTACAGTTCATACACAAACTTCTCTATTCTCTCTTACCAGAATCTATCCTAGCTTGTCTTCGGGCAGCACATTCTTCAATGCGAAGTTTAGGTATTCCTTCAGCTACAGCTTTGGCCATCCCACCCATTTCTTCAACTTCATGTATGAGCTAATGAAAGAAAAAAAGAGAGAGAGGGAAAGAGAGGAGAGAGAGAGAGAGAAAGAAAGAAAGAAAGAAAGAAAGAAAGAAAGAAAGAAAGAAAGAAAGAGAGGAAGGGAGGGAGGGAGGGAAAGGAAGAAAAGAAAGAAAGGAAAGAAAGGAAACAAAAGGAGAAAAGACAAAAAGGTTAGTAAAATAGAGAGAAGGACATTCAACCTAGCCCTATATGTTATATATTCCCAAAAGCATTCAAATTACAGGCTAAATTAGTATTTTATAAGAAAGTAACTGACTAAATACAAGAGAAATAATCAGAATTTATGTGCATAAAGCTACCTAAAGAGATAAAAGAAAAACTTTAAAGTATATTCTGGAAAGCTTGAAATTCCTCAGCCACATCTTGTGGAAAAAGACCAACAATAGCACTCCAATTCCCTAGCCTTTGTTTTTACATGAACAATGTTTTTAAGATTCATTCTCCAGACTTTATTTTTATATGAACAAAAGGTTTTTAAGGTTTATGACTCTTTAAGAAAAATATATATCAAAATGCATTTCTACTCTCAATCTGAAAAAAATGTTATCATATATGTGTGTATATGAGATAGAAGAGAATCATCAAAAACTCAGTATAATATAGAAAAAATATGCATATGAGATGGGTATCAACATAAAATCAGAAGAATATTGATGCTTTCAGAAAGAAAGACATGGAATTTCTGATCACAAATATGAGGCAAGAAAAAGAATGAAAAGCAAACTAGTATTAATAAATTTGATCACAGAGTCACACAGAGAAATAATTTTAAATCAAGTCTGCTGCAGCTCATACATGGGTTTCTGAACTTGACGAGGGGTGACAGGACATTAAGAAAGACAGACAGACAGAAGTAATATAAGCAAAGCTGGGATGGGGTGGGCCCTACGCTCTCAGATAGAAATGCACCAGTGATGATCAATGACCAAGAAACTATGTGCTTTTTATGTGCAGCACAGCAGGGGCGCTTAGCTAGTCTCCACATGGAGTCTCTAACGCAGCAGCCTCAGGCTACAGTCATCCAGAAGGAACAAGCGGCACTTGCAGTTCCTGCACACACTGTCAACATCTGCCCACAGAGCAGAGGAAGGCTTTGCTGGTTCCCTGGCCTGAGGCATCGAGGTCCTTGACGTGACGTGCTCAGGATTTCATCCACTCCTTACATTGACCCAGGGCTTCCTCTGCTTCCCATGTGAGTCAAGGATAAGAACACAAAGGAGAAACACTCAAACACATAAAGTTATAAATGACTAGGAAGCTTCTCTGAGAAATACATCAAGATTAACAGAGAGAGGCACAACTGCTCAGCACTCAGAGACTAAGACACTGGACTGGTCAGCGCCGAATGGACATCTACATCACATTCTTTCCCCAAAGGCTCAAGTCATCATTGTGGAAGAGGAGGCGGACAGTTTTCAGGAGGTAGAGAGAGTAGATGTCTGGAGAACATCAGTTTTGCCAGACATGACTGTCCAGTTGCATACATGGACTCACAGTGGCTGTCTAGAACTGCAAGCAAAAGACCTGAAAGATTAAATCAGTCAAAACCTCAGTATGGATAGCGAAGGAGTTAGCATTCCATCCCCATCTTAGAAGCTCCTGGCAACTGAGGAGAGAGAGAGCCCATTAGCTGTAGGGAGCAGTGTTCTGACAGTAGATGGTCTTGCATCCATGCAGAAAGGCAGCACAAATGGACTTAGTGTGTTATTTTTTTTCTAAGAGAGAGCATGTGAAGCTAGGAGGATAAAGGAGATGAGAGGAGAATTCGAAAAGAAAGAATAGGGGTGGATTTTATTCAAACATATTACACACATGTATGAATATTACATAATTTTTAAAAAAGAAGTACTTCCAAATAACAGGCATGAGATTCAGGTTTTATATTCCATAAATGTCATAAGACCTAGAGAAAAGCCAGTTCAAAGCAAATAAGAATGACAGGAAGGGAGAAAACGGGATATCATTATATTGGTAGGAAGGGGAAATAAGAAGTGATTTTTATCCACTGAAATACTAAACATTTCTAGAGCAGAAATCAAAAGACAGTGTCTAAAGCATTGTGTCTAATGCCTAAAGCCAACAAAATCAGAAGAAACAGTATATGTGTCACTTAAAATACACAGTATAGCTTACTCCTGTAAACAGAAAAATAAGAACTGAAACACAATAGAGTACTGTCTCCCCCCTCCCCGTGTGTGTGTCTCTGTATGTGTCTGTGTATCTGTTTATGTCTGTCTTTGTAGTGTGAGCCTGTGCCCATGTGTCTGTTTGCTTATTTATCTATATTATCTGTGTAAGTCTGTCTGGTTCTATGCATGTTGTCTATGTGTGTCTGTCTGTGTCTTTGCATCTGTGTAAGCACATGTACTTTTAGTAACAGCTAGCTTTTAATCCTGCAAAAAATATAACCATAGAAACAGAAATATACTTTTAAATTACACTTTAGTAGTGAAAACTATAAAGTTAAAGATAAATTTCACTTTCCTCACATACATTTTATAATTTTAGTATAAATTTAAAAATGATTATTTATAGATCAAAAAAGAGGAGAAACTGACCTTCAGAGCTGCTTCATAAACATCATTTGTGAGGGATTCCATCATGTACGATCCTCCCCAAGGATCAGCCACTTTTGGGATTCCAGATTCTTCTTGAATGATGATTTGTGTGTTTCGGGCAATTCGAGCACTTTTCACAGTGGGCAAGCCCAGAGCTTCATCAAAAGAATTTGTATGCAAAGACTGTGTCCCTCCAAACACAGCTGCCATTGCTTCAATTGCAGTGCGGACAATGTTATTATAGGGATCCTAAAACATTAAATCAAAAATAAAAACAAAACAAGAAAAAAGTTCACAGACAGAACTAGAAGAGATATTATAATCAAGCAACAACTATATAACCTACACCAATGTCCAAAGCAGTTTGGGGACTGAACATCAGACGTCAGAGTATTAAATAAAACTCACACAAATTAGTGAGCAAGCTAGAAAAGAAGTAAGAGTCAAGTGTCTATTCCAGGCTTAGGCATGAAAACATTGTCTCATACATTCCTCTAAAATACCAAACAATTTTACATTGTTTAAATACTGTTCCATAAGCATATCATGAAATATAATTTTTCTTAGATTACAGGAATCTTTTTTTCCTAATTTATAATCTCCTAAGTATTTTTCATACCTCAGAGCATCTCCTGCAATGGATGTGTATGACGTAGGCACTTAATATGACTAATGACTAATTAAAGTGATTCTGTGTAAATTCTAAGGTAGGAAATAGGATTCTATTTCATTATATGTCTAACTGAGATGTTGGCTAGTTTATATATTTCAGTTTTAATTGGAAAAATCAGGATAGTAACACAAGATTATAAAAGTTCCTTCCAACCTCATAATCTCTACTTCTAGTCAGAAAGAACATGTTGGTTGTTATTCACTATTAACAGTAAAAAAGACATGTAACTTAAAATCACAGTATGTGGAATATAAAAATGAACAGATACAGAAGCCAAGTATCACCATGCGATTTTAATGGAATCAAGTTATACTATTCAAATGATAATAATCTTTAAATGTCTGTGTTTCTTGCTTAAAACACAACTTTTGAGTGTGTGAACTAGGATAAAAATAAATTATAAATAGGTAGTTTTATAATAAGATGTATTAATTATACTGTGGTTTTTATTTCTTCTTTATCAGCAAATAATTTTTTACTGTATTAGCACAGTAAATAATCCCAAGAATTGACAAAGAAATTCCATGAAAGGCAAAAGCTCCTGCATAACAAAGGAAGCAACCACCAGAGTGAAGAGACTGCCTCAGGTGGGTAAATAAAAATCTGCCATATACACCAAATAGGAGAATAATACCTAAGATATGTAAAGGGCTGCAAATAATGAGCCCCCAAATCCAAACCACCAAATTCCTAAATCCCTGAACAAGCTAATGCACTGAAAAGACTAAAAAGGCTAAAGGCTAAAGACCAAAATGAACTCCAAAGAATAAATATACAAACTCAAAGTGTCCACAGCCTTAGCTATTAAGGAAATGATAGTAAAACTGCCTTAAGATTCCATTTCATCCACGTCTGAATGGTTATCATCATGAACACCAGTGACACAAGGTGTGAGTACACGCCTGTAATTCCAGCAGTCAGGATGCAGAGGCAGGCAGAGGCCAGCCTGATCTGCATATTGAGTTCTATACCAGATTAGAAGACGAAATAGTGTAAAAGACAGAAAGAAAAAAAGGAAGGAGAGGAGGCGGGAAAAGGAAAGGAAACAAACAGCGACAAATATCAGCAGAGATGCAAAGAGGAGCCCTATTCACTGCCAGAGAGTGTGAACTGCTGCAGAGCTACTACAGAAATCTGTGTGCGCCGTCAAAGAGTCCGAACAGCAGCACACCACATGGTCCAGCTATACCACTGCTGAGTACACACCCAAAGGGCCCTAAATCAACACACCACAGAGATACTTGCACATCCAGGTTTATTAATTCTCTAGTCACAATCGCTAGGAGAGGAAATCAGTCTAGATCTCTATCAACGCATGAAAGGAGAATGTGATAGCTAAATGCAGTGGAATCTTACACAGCTATAAATAAAATGAATCATGACCTGCAGGAAAATGGGTGTAACTGGAAATCAAATGTTCAGCGAAATAAGCCAGAGTCAGGACAATTACCTTGCATTTTTCTCTCATCCACAGAATCTAGATTTAAAATTAAATGTGTGTGTGTGTGTGTGTGTGTGTGTGTGTGTGTGTGTGTGTGTATTTACAAGTGTGTTTGTAGGCCACAAAACTAAAAGAGGGAAAGGACGATATCTTATGGTTGGTGAGTAACAGAGAGGACAGATGTGATAAAACAGAAAAATATGATTTTAAAAAGTTGAACAGAGGACTGTCTAGGAAAAGAAAGGGAAGCACTGGGGAAAAGGTGTGGGGAAGGGAAAATGAAGAGAGCTAAGTATAAGGCCATATGTGTATGAAGATGACGTGGTGGATCAAACAGTAATCTAAACTACTAAGAAAATAAAAGGGGAATAGTCACAAGCCAAGATAGAAATGATCTGAGTTAACCACTAGAGGGCGCTAATTCTTTTCGATATGTGCAAACTCAAAACGTAAGCATGCGTTATACTTCAAGATACTCATGATTTTCAGTATTAGCAAATAGGCTGTTAAATATGGTTCCTGTCCACACATTCTAAAGAAAAAAATGTTTGTTTTTTTATTCAATATATCTATTTTCAGATAGATACACACCTGCTCAGTAAGTGACCACCCTGATGTCTGGCAGTGTGCTCGTAAAAGAAGAGATTTGGAGTTCTTAGGCTGGAACATCTTTTCTATTAAGTGAGCCCAGAGTCTTCTCCCAGCTCGCATCTTCGCTATTTCCATGTAGAAGTTCATCCCAATTCCCCAAAAGAAAGACAACCTAAAAAGGTAAAGTCCAGAAGTATATGAAACTTAAAAATACAAATAAGAAATTAAAACAAATCGTAACACACACTAGAAAAACCCATGTCCAGATCTGAATATCAAACAATTAATTTGAAGTAAAAGCAAAGCACACACATATCTAAGTAACTGTGACCCTAACATAAAAATGGCTGTGAATGTTTACTTCTGGGAAAAATTATTCCCTTCACGATGGTTTCCTTTAGGAAAGAATTTGCTCTTGTATGCTGAGTAAGATAGATTCTTGGGCAGGGGATGGCTAAATGGTAGAGTATTCACCCAACACACACTAGACCCTGGGTTTCACCCTGAGTGGCAGAGAGTCAAATTCTTATTTACCCAGCGCTGAGATTGAACCTTGGGCCTTACACTTGTTAGGCAAATGCTTTCACCATTCACCTACATGTCCAGCTCAAGATCCATTTTGTTACAAAAATAAAAAATAAAAAATCTTTGTAACAAAGGGTTGTGACTGAAAGAACAGAATCACATGCTTACTTTGTTTGTATAGCATGGGTTGGCTTAATTTGTATATGTTTTAAGAAATGATTGAGCACTGAGTTTAGTCACATTCTCCTCTAATTTGTTCCTAGCCTCACTATTCCCTTTTACCTCACATTCTGCAATGGATTTAACTGATTTACATATATAGATTACCTATTTCTAGTGGCCAGAAGGCTGCATAACCTCATGTCAACCAAAAGGGCACTAGGACACGAACATTTAATAAAACTCAATGAACTCCCATACTGAGAGGTCTTAGAATCTGGGCTCATCCTTAAAATCTACTGAAGACTGTGAAGAACTTTTCTTTATTTCAATATAATTATCTAAATTTTATCCATTAGTCCATGTAAAATAATAAAAATATAACATGTAAAATATATACCTTTTAAACAGTAATATTTCCTTATACTATCAAAACTTAAAAAAAATCATTTTTATTTTAAAATGTTTTTATTAGAAGGGTGTCCATTTCCTATGTGCTCATGTGTGTGGAGGTGTGCATGTGCAAGCCAAAGGACAATCTGAGGTCTGTTTCTTGGGCAGTATCTACCTGTTTTTGTTGTTTATTTTTGAGACAGGGTCTATCTGAGATAGCTAGCCAGTAAACCCCAGGAACCCACCTGCCTCTGCCTCCTCAACATTGGGATTCCAAACATGTCTACAGCATTGATATGTGGGCTGTGGGGATTAAACGCAGATCCTCAGACCAACTGGTCATTTTCCCAGTCCTGTTTTGTACTTTTGCAAACCTCTTTAATGAGCAGCTTAAACGAAGACAGCTAAAGCCATCTATATGTCCCATCTATCTCAATAAAACATACCACACAGGTTTATACCAACCCTAGGGGAAATAAAAAGGAAAAAGGAAAACCAAGTTTTAAAGTACTCAGGAACAGTGTAAACCTTCAAGATCTATGTAATCCCTAGGAGGCAATGAACCACATTTTGGAAGCTGTTGTAATAACAAGCTACAATGTCTTAGAACAAAAAAAAATGTCATTTGCCATGTTTTGCACATTTGAATTGCCAGCACACAGGTAAGTCTCACTTCAGGGACAAGCTCATGAATGTTGTTGATGGAGAAAAGATACCTAACTTTAATCTACTGACCTTGGTGCAAATTCGTCAATTGTGAGTCCAGCCTGGAGTCCAGTTCTGCAGTACTCCAACCCATCTGCGATGGTATAGGCCAATTCTAGAATGGCATCAGCCCCTGCTTCCTGCATATGGTAACCACTGATCGAAATGGAATTAAATTTTGGCATGTGCTATATAAAATAAGAAATATATAACAATTAATGAAATATGAAAAGGTTCTATTCAACTTAGGTTATGAAAGCAAGCATTATCTATACATGATGTTCAGTTTCAGATTACTTGGTAGTTAATAATCATAACTGAAAAAACCTAGTATTTGTTAATCAAATTCCCTCTCTAATTTAAGTGATTGATCTTTGAAGCATCTTCAAGGTGTTATATTTGTTTTTCTACCAGAAAACAGTTGCCCTAGTTATCCTTTAGGCTAGCTAAGACTTCATAAAGACCTTATGATTTGCCTGATATGTTGACAAATTTTATATTACTCACATTATTTTCATATTTGCATAAATGTATTCAATATGAACAAGTACACGGTAAGCAAACCTGATTTGATTCTTAGTGTTATATTTTGAAGCAAAATAGGATAAATTATACAGCTTAAAAATATCAGAGATTGGGGCTGGAGAGATGGTTCAGTGGCTAAGAGCACTGGTGTTCTTCAAGAATACCTGGGTCCCAGTCCCAGCACCCACATGTCAGCTCACAACTGTCAGTAGCTCCAGTTCCAGGTGATCTGACACCCTTATATAGACATAAATGCAGGTAAAACGGCAATGCATATGAAATAAAAATTAAAAAATGTTTTTTAAAAGGTTGGCTTTATCCTGTTTTAAAAAAATCAAAGATTCCAGTTTGATTTACTGTTATTGTTAATATCAAGCATATTGTAGCTCCTTCTACCATGACCACTAAGAATGCCACATACCAATGTTTCCCAACATTCCAATTCCATGTTAGGTCTAGTACCTGATTGGATAGACCCTGCAGAACCAAAGAGTTATCATATGACTGTTTTCAACTGAACATAAAATAAAAACACCGTAAACATGGGCTCTGACATCAGAGGGCTCATATTTCCACCACGACACTTAACCACTGGGAAGTTTCTCAAAAGTGCTATTCGCTGGTGTCCAACAAAGTAGAGGTAATAACTATACCATTCTTATAGAATTGTTTTGAGATGAAATTATTCATCTAAATCACGTAGTATTATCCTAGCAGACACTAAGTTCTCAAAAAAGTTAGGTGGCCTTGTTAATATATGTTATAAATTAAATATACCACATTTACATATACCATACTTATGTACATTCATATAATACACAAATATAGTTGTGTATTTTACAATTTCAAGTACTTTAACCCAAAGTTCTTTGAAAATTCTCTATAACAAAATCAAAAAATGGATAGAATCAAATGAAATTGAGAAAAATAACTGTATTTTTGGAGTTCACAAACAAAAGCCAGGAAACAGGTGCTTTGCTGTGCAGAAGAGTATACTGACAGACTTTTAAATAATAGAAGTAAAATATGGTAGAATTAAAAAGGAAGGAAGTTCTTGTATGGCATAAAAAGGACAACACTGGCAATGGTATATTAAAGGAAATGAGCCTATCGAAACAAAGAAATACTGCATGATCCTACTCATGTGAGCAATCTGCAGTACTCAAATTTGCATTACTTATAGCGATACAATGGTGGGATCCTAGAGCAGGAAAAAGGGGACAATGGGACTGTCTGTGGAACAGACAGATTCAATTCTGCAAAATTAAGAGTAAAGGGATATGCAGGCAATGGTTGCACAACAGTGGAATATACTTAATACCACTGTACACTTAAAAGTAGTTAACACAGTAATATCACAACATACATATTTTCCCATAATTAAGAATTCTTTAAAAATACAAAGCTCACAATTTATACAATTTTTTTTAAAAAAGTATCATTTAATCAGAATCTGAAACTGGCATGCTGTCACATGAAGGATTATGTAAGTATGTAAGCACAATTCTGAACTTCTAGATACCATTAGGATCTTGTACACGGTGACATTCACAGGGTACAGACGCACAGGAGGATACTCTCCACCCCAGCAGCCAGTCTTGCTCTGACAGCACGTCCTAAGCTTAGAGCTCCACAGTACAAGTCCTAGTCTCCGCTCTTGTCTTACTACTGTGGCCACAGAGACAGGAGGACTTGGATAGTCCTCTGGAAGATCCCTCTCCCTCGCGCACATCTGGCCATACTTCCTTCCTTCTTTCCTTAACCATAGCAGTTAACATACCTAATAACAAAAGAAAGCAAGATAAAGGAACCTGGAGTCCTGATTACTGTGGAGCTCCACAGATGCAAACCCTCATAGACCACCTTCTAGCTTCCTTAAACCAAACAGAGCAGACTCCTATTTAGTTTAAGCTACAGCTATTTATGTGCTTGCTATATGTTGTTAGGCAGAATATTTATATATGTCTTGGAAATCTCCAAATGTAGTATAAACACAGTTATATATAATACCATTCTACATATACAAATTTATGTAGTACAATTCCACTGGGCAGATGTAAAACATCAAAATACTTTTCAAAGGACAAAGGCTGAATAGCAAATGAAGGATGCAGAAAATACTTGCAGGACTTCTGATACAAGTCAATGCAGAGGGTGAATAGGTTAAAAAGCTGTGATGCAGAAGAGACTTCCTCTTTGGCATTAAGCAGTTCTAAGGGTTGTGAGGAGACAGGCACTGCTAACAGGAAGTGCAGAGAAGACCAGGAAAACATTGCACTGCTCTAAAGAAAACGTGGAGGCCCAGGGAGCCGCCTTCTCTCACTTATCTGCCTGAAAAGGGATGCTTAACTCAGGGGTGAATTAGGGATGGCATGGAGGTGGCAGACATGCAGTCTGTTCCAAATCAGTCAGTAACAGAAATAAAATCGATCTGTCTTAATACTAGTGTGCATCTTAACTCCATTTGAACGAACTCTGAAAAGAACCAAGGAAGTGAGAGTTCCTTACTCTAACAATTATCAGTCAACTAACTATCAAAAAATGAAATGAACAGTAAAAGGAAAAGCAGAACAGCACCTAGGTTATGGCCATACAATTACCACACGAAGACAAAACACTAAGAGATAACAAGGCAGGCTGACAAGATAACTTAGATTCAGTATTGAACTTCACGGTAACTTGCAGCGCTTTGTGAAATCCTCTACAAATGAGTACAGCAAACTCTTCAGAAGAAAGCATACCTGTGCTGTGTATTGAAAAATGTCAGCGATAATTCTCATGGATGGCTCTGGGGGGAAGATGTAAGTGTTTCTGACCATGAACTCCTTCAGGATGTCGTTCTGAATTGTGCCTGTCAGCTTCTCTTTCGGCACGCCTTGCTCTTCCCCCGTTACTATAAACGTTGCCAGGACCGGGATCACTGCTCCATTCATGGTCATGGAAACGGACATTTTTTCTAAAGGAATGCCGTCAAAGAGGATTTTGGTGTCTTCTACAGTGTCAATAGCAACTCCGGCCATCCCAACATCTCCGCGAACTCGAGGGTTGTCGGAATCGTAACCACGATGTGTTGCCAGGTCAAAGGCAACGGACAATCCCTGCTGACCAGCTAAGTACATAAGGGAAAAAAAGAAGCCATGGGTATGTTAGAGTCTCAGGGAAGATACTGGAAGCAGATGTACCTCATGCCCGTGCTCATGGGAAACAAATGCTTGGCTTCCTAAGAGCCAGCTGATTCCAGGATGCTAAGACACACAAACTGAGCTGCTGATTCCAGGATGCTAAGACACACAAACTGAGCTGCTGATTCCAGGATGCTAAGACACGCAAACTGAGCT